AAAATAGGGTTTGTTTCTAACTGTCTGAAAGCTTTCAAGTTACAAGTGGTTATCCAAGTTCCTACGAGTGCCACAACCTCCTCCAACTATTACTTGGGGCCCCTGGATCAGAGACTCTCAATATGAGGGTTAGGAGAATATGATGCCTCAACAATCTAGGAACCATGCCCCTCAACAGCAGGAAGTAGTTATGGAATGAAAACGACACCCCTTTCCCTTGGCAGCATAATTCTCTTCAAAGAAAAAGGGGGAATGAGAGAGTCAATTCCTAGGCAGGTTGATAAAAAGTTCGGGGTCCCCAAGGAGGAAAAAGGGGTCTGGGGCTCTCAAAGCAGAGATAGGGATCTGGAATTCTCAAGGAGGAGGAAAGGACAAACATCTCAAACATCTTTTTTTTTTTTTCTCTACATTCTTTATTCTTAGTCACATAAAACATTTTTTTTCTTTAAGCCTGAAATTGATGATTACACAACAAACAACTCAGTTTAAACTCTGTACTAAGGATTATATGACAACAATGTATCCTGCTTGAGGACAGTTTCTTCTTCCTGAAAACCTTCTGGCTAATCCTATTATCTTAAAATGTAAATTGTGGGAGTGGGTCTAGTAAGATCTTTACAAACTTGAGACATTCTTTTGATTTACTATAATAACCAATTAAAAAAGTATATAACTCCCTTGCTAACACCAGCAGGGGGGGCATTCTCTGTCCATCTTCTATGTCTAGTCAGAAGCTTTTCTGTCTCTTTTCACTTTAATAAAACTTTGCTATACAAAAAAAAAAAAATAATAAGTATGTCTTATGAAGTCAGAAAATTTTAATTTCCAGCTTTGCTAGTCACTATCTGTTTGATCTCAGGCAAATTATTTAACCTCTGTGGATAGTTTCTCTTTGGGGCTAACAATGGGAAAGTGAAAGTGTTAATCTCTGAGTCATGTCCTACTCTTTGCGATCCCACAGACTGTAGCCTGCCAGGCTCCTCTGTCCATAGAATTCTCCAGGCAAGAATACTGGAGTGGCTTGCCATTTCCTTCTCCAGGAGGATCTTCCTGACCCAGAGATAGAACCCAGGTCTCCTGCATTGCAGGTAGATTCTTTGCCATCGGAGCCACCAAGGAAGCCCCAGTAATGGTAACTACTTGCGTTTGGAATGCCCAAGACCACTCAGGTTTAGTTCATAAAAGGACTCACAGAACACTAACATGTTGTATTGATACTTAAGTTTCCAGCAAATAGATCAAGCGTCCAGTCAACAAAGGGGGAAATGCAGAAGGGGGAAAATGCAGACAGTGAAACTGGAGGAACACAAACACAAGCTTCCAAATCTCCCTGTCTGGATGTCCGAGAAGCTCAAACAGTAAAGAATCTGCATGCAATCTGGGAGACCTGGGTTCGATCCCTGGATTAGGAAGATCTCCCAGAGAAGGGCATGACAACACTACCCACTCTAGTATTCTTGCCTGGAGAATTCCATGGACAGAAGAACCTGGTGGACAACAGTCCATGGACTCAAACAGTCGGACACGACTGAGCAACTTTCACTTTCACTTTTCTCCCTGTCCAGTCACACAGAATCTGCTTGATTCTGTCAGCCCAACTCATCCAAGCTGTTGCCAACCAGGGAAGCTTACTCCTGTCTGAGAGTCTTGGGGTTTTTTTACTGTGGTCAGTCACATGGGCATATACCACCTACATGGCTGACCTTAGTCAGGGAAGCCCCAGACCCCTAGAGGGAAAGAGGCAATTCCCTTGTTTAAAACAATTAAAGGACTTCCCTGGTGGTCCAGTGGCTAACAGTCTACCTGCCAATGCAGGGGACGTGGGTTCGATCCCTGCTCTGGGAAGATTCCACTTGCCAATGAGCAGCTAAGCCCATGTGCCACAACTACGGAGCCTGAGTGCTGCAGTCACTGAAGTTCATGTGCCTAGAGCCTGTGCATCACAACAAGAGAAACCACTGCAATGAGAAGCCCATGCATCACAAGGAGGAGAAGGCCCTCACAGCAACGAAGAGCCAGTGCAGCCAGAAATAAACAAACAGAGCAAAATAAAACACCTCATTTAAAAACATGGTCAAAGAACATAGAAACTCTATTGAACACTTCATAAAGTGGGCAGTCTCTATCCACAAGGGTCCAGAGAACCTCAGAGCATTTACAGGGACAGAGTTAAGTTTTGGTTTGCTGACCCGGCACCCCAAGCTGGAGTGGTTCGTCTTTTTTTTTTTTTTTTTTGGTAAGATTTATTTATTTGGCTTCATTGGGTCTTAGTTGCTCCATGGCATGTGGGAGCTTAATTTCCCAACTAGGGGTCAAACTCATGTTCCCAGCATTGCAAGGTGGATTCTTCACTGGATCACCAGGGAAGTCCCTGGAGTGACTCATCTTGAGTCTAGATATTTATTTCAACACAGGCCTGAGATCAGACCCAGAAGTTCCTACTGGGAGTTGGGTGTCCCATTGATGATCATAAGAGGAGGCCTGAATCTTTGACCATTTACTTCTTAGAGGCACAGAGCTAAGCATTCTGTATTCATTAATCTCAAATGCATTCACAGCATCCCAAAGACATGGGCTGATTTGATAAATAATCCCATTTTACAGATGAAAGCACCAAGGCCCAGGAACAATGGGTAATTTGCCAAACCTGGGTCCTCCTACTATTGTAGGGGAGGAAACCTTTCCCTGTTTCTCTTCTAGGGTCCTTGGCTGGTGTGGTAATTTAATTGACATAAGATAGATGAACAGGAGAAAAACAAATTTCATACATACATCATCCCCAAAGACATGGTCAGGCAATTGAGGCTTATATGCCACTCAGAGTGAAGGAGAAGGGAGTGAGGATTGGGGCTCAAAGGGGAGGAAGATACATTCCAGGAAGATGAGAAAAGCAGATATTTGGTTAACAAATGATTACCATGCCATGCAGCTAGATAAGTGTTTTTAATACTAAAAGTTAGCTTTGGAGTTAGTTCCCTTCCAGATACAGGCCCTCTAACTAAATCTTTTAGGCAGTTAAGGGAGTAGTAATCAGCTCTTTCTGAGTCTTTTGGGTCTCAAATGTCTTCAGTTCAAAATAACCCACGCACCATGTGGCCTGTTTGCGGGGGAGCACATGACATGTTTCCCCTCACTGTGAAACATGCAGTCATCACACCCTGGGATCCAACATCTCAGCTGAGTTTATCTCCAGCATAAAATAAGCTGCTGATGCTGCTAAGTCGCTTTAGTCGTGTCCGACTCTGTGCGACCCCATAGACGGCAGCCCACCAGGCTCCCCCATCCCTGGGATTCTCCAGGCAAGAATACTGGAGTGGGTTGCCATTTCCTTCTCCAATGCATGAAAGTGAAAATTGAAAGTGAAATCACTCAGTCGTGTCCAACTCTTAGCGACCCCATGGACTGCAGCCCATCAGGCGCCTCCGTCCATGGGATTTTCCAGGCAAGAGTACTGGAGTGGGGTGCCATTGCCTTCTCCAATAAAATAAGCATTGAGGTCTAAATGGAATATTGGTGGTGGTGGTTTAATCACTAAGTTGTGTCCGACTGTTTTCACCCCATGGACTGTAGCCTGCCAAGCTCCTCTGTCCATGGGATTCTCCAGGCAGGAATACTGGAGTGGGTTGCCATTACTTTTGCCAGGGGATCTTCCCAACCCAGGGATTGAACCCATGTCTCCTGCATTGCAGGCAGATTCTTTACTGACTGAGCCGCCGGGGAAGTGCCAGTGGAATATTACCCAGCCATTAAAAAAGAATGAAATAATGCCATGTGCAGCAACATGAATGGGCCTAAAGGGTGTCATAATGAGTAAAGAAAGTCAGACAAAGACGGAAAAATACTGTATGACATCCCCTGTATGTGGACTCTAAAATGAAAGGATGCAAATGAACTTACTTACAAAACAGAAATAGACTCACAGACTTCCAGCACAAGCTCATGGTTGTGTGGGAAGGATGGGGGGGCGGACAGTTAGGGAGTTTGCAATGGACCTGTACACACCGCTATATTTAAGGTGGATAACCAACAAGGACCTACTGTATAGCAAGCACATGGAACTCTGCTCAATATTATGTAGCAGCCTGGGTGGGAAGGGAGTTTGGGGGGAGAATGGATACATGTGTCTATACAGCTGAAACTCTTCACTGTTCACCTGAAACTCTCACAACATTGTTTGTTAATCAGCTGTACCCCAATCTAAAATAAAAAGTTAAAACAAAAAAGAGTTGAGGCTTTCATCTTCCGAGGGTGTTTGCCACTGCTTTGAGGGTCCTGGCAATTCACTCGAATCTAGACCCAAGGGTCTCGATGATAACTGGGTGGGGGTGACGCGGTTGTATGGAGACTACACACTTGTGCACCCAGCATGGTGTGGTACCAGCACATGGAACTCTGATGGGTCACTTCATCTTCAGGGAGCGGGGAGGCACTCGTGTTTATTTTTTGCAGCAGAAGACAAATGCTTCCAGTGTGCAGGTTGGAGGAGAGAACGTGGGGTTTTCTGGGTCGCCCCTTCTTGACCTAGGCTCCTCTTTCACGTTCCCAGGGTGCGTGGGGAAGGCAGCTTTTCTCTGCCTGCTGCCCTTCCCCGCCTGCCCCGGTGAGGGCTCCTGCAGGCTTGCTTTCAAAGCGCGGTTCTGAGGACCGTTTAATAGGAGAGGAAATGGCCTGGGGACACACCTGTAACAGGGAGCCTGTTAGGAATGCTGCTTCTCAGGCCTCGCCCAGACCTGGGGAATCAGAATGTGCACTTATTTCCACAAGATCCAATGGCAGAACGAAGTCTGAGAAGCACTGTTACTGGGCGTTGGGCCCCAGCAGGCAGATGCAGGAAGAAGTCTGGTTAGGTGTGGAGGTTGAAGGTGGAGAGGATTGACCCCAGCCCCTCCCCTTTCCCCCTCCCCTTCCCTGCTCGCCGCCTGATCCCACCCCTCACCAGGGGTGTGAAAAGCCCAGCCAGCCCCCAGCATCCTCAGGAGCCCTCCTGCAAGGCCACGAAGATGAGCCGGCTCTGCCTCTCTGCAGCCCTTCTGGTCCTCCTGGGCACCCTGGTGGCCGGCACCCCAGAGGGTGACGACAGCAACAAGGACAGTAAGTCCCAGCTCCTGTCTCCTCTACAGACCAGGTGGAGGGAAAAGGGGAGCCCTTGGAAGGGGCTGGGGAGCAGGGGTGGGGCGAGCGTTGCCAACCCTCTCTGGATTTCTCCTGGGAAACAGCAATTTTCACTCCAGGGACATTTCATGGCTCTGAAAAAGAAAATCATTATGCTTTCAGCTTAAAAAATTATCTTGCATAACTCTACCAGATCAGGGGCCGCATCTCTGAGACTCTCTATTCCTGGTCACTGCCTGGTCCTCGAACCTGACTGTCACGTAACAAAAAGATCGCTATTTGACCCTTGTCCGCGTTTATGGTCCAGGTCTCCTGAAACTTGGAATTTGCTGCCTTTTGTATGTTAAGGAAAGTGAAGTTGCTCAGTTGTGTTCGACTCTTTGAGACTCCATGAACTGTAGCCTATCAGGCTCCTCCATCCATTGGATTTTTCCAGGCAAGAATACTGGAGTGGGTTGCCATTTCCTCTCCAGGAGATCTTCCCAACCCAGGGATCAAACCCAGGTCTCCCGCATTGTAGACAGACGCTTTACCATCTGAGCCCTCAATAGCTTCTGGGTGGGACTGCCCTCCAGGACATCCATCAGGTGAACAGAAGATTAGAATTTTCAGCCCCCAGCTCCTCCTTGGGGAAGGGAGGGTACTGGGATAGAAGTCAAGTCTCCGACAGCTAATGAGTCAATCCATTTGCCAACCCAGTGAATAAAAACCCCTAAACATGAGGAATCGCAGAGCTTCCTGGGTGGGGAACATTCAAGAGGGCTTTTCTCTAATAGCAGAGAGCAGGCTTCTCCCTGCGGTGAGCAGAGCACAGGCTCTAGGGCACCTGGGCTTCAGTAGTTAGGGCACTTGGGCTCAGCAGTTGCGGCTCCTGGGCTCTAGAACACAGGCTCAGTAGCTTTGCCGCATGGGCTTAGCTGCCCCGTGGCACGTGGAATCTTCCTGGGTCAGGGATCAAACCCATGTCTCCTGCATTGGCAGGCAGGTTCTTTTACCACTCAGCCACCAGGGAAGCCCCTGGGTTTTATCCTTTATCCACTAAATAAAAGAGTTGTGTGAGACACTATAGTCAATTATTGGAACTTGAGAGTGGGAGTCACACAGCCCCTGAATTTCTAGCCAGTTGCTGAGAGGTCTGTGGGACCCCAGGGACATGTGGCTGGCATTTGAAGTGGGGCTGTCTTGTGGGGTTGAGCCCTCACCCTGGGGAGTCGAGGCTAACCCTGCAGATTTCGAGTCTGAAGTGAGTTGACTTAAGGGACACCGCATTGGGCTGGAGAACTGGTTGGTGTTGGAAGAGATGCCACATGTTTGGTGTACAGAAGAAACTCAGACTCGTATATCCCTGGGCTTTGATGGCTGGAAGGAGGCTCAAATACAGGTGAGTAAAAGTGGAGGGCAGTGTTCCCAGAAACTCTTACCAGTCACCTAGATTGTAACAATTCCCTGCAGACAGCAGGTGCTTCGTCACATGGGTTGTAACAGGATTATACATTGACCCAACCTTACCACTCGCCTCCTCTGTGACCTGAGGTCAGTCACTTTGCTGCAGTTTCCTCACCTATACAAAGGAAAACTACCAAACAAGTTCTTGCAAGGAATTATCAATCATGAATATAGAGTTTTTTTCACATTTCACGCCTGATAACGTACATTTTCCACCAAAATGTCTTAGTCTGAAGAATTTTTGCCTACTTACCCCCAAGAAAAAAATATGTAGGGGTCAAATAATGATATTATTGGGCTTCCCAGTGGCTCAGCTGTAAATAATCCACCTGCAATGTAGGAGACGTGGAGATGTGGGTTCGATCCCTGGGTCAGGAAGATCCCCTGGAGGAGGAAATGGCATCCCACTCCGGTATACTTGCCCAGAAAATTCCATGAACAGAAGAGCCTGGCGAGCTACAGTCCATGGGATGGCAAAGACTCGGCCGGACACCATTGAATGCTTCAACAGCAATGATATTATTTCTCCATTATTATTGCAAGAATGCAACACTTCCATGACTTTGCTCATGGGGACAAGGTTATACTTCTCCCAGGCTGTTAGAATATTTGTGATGACTCAAGGCCCTTCCCTTTATTCCCTTGTCTATTATTTTATTATCATCTCAGGATATGGAATGTTGGAGTAGATTCATAGTTTTCTAGATGTGCTGCTACTAAAGATAAGTCCATGTGCCTGACTCACAGTGAGGCTAAGCAAACCGAGAAGTCTGAGTTTGGAGCCGAGAAAGGTTTATTGCCGGGCCATGCAAGGAGACTAGAGTGGCTCAGGCCTTAAAAACCCCTAACTCCCCCCAGAGAGAAGCTTTTACATGCAAGATTTGGGGTGAAAGCTACAGGTGTGTGATTGTGTGACTTTCTTCTGAATGGTTGGTGTTCCAAGAACCTTGTGCTCAGCCAGAAGTTACCTTCCTCCACAGGGGTGGGGAATTTAGTTGCTGCAAAAGAACTCAAAGATACTGATAAGTATTCATTCTGGAGGAGCCTGGACCTGACCCTGCCCTGCCCCACTGTGCACTATTGTTTCTTGACTGCTTCTCCTTTGTTTCTGCTTCCCCTCCCTTTCTTGATTAGCTACTGCTTGAATCTGCCCTTTGGTATTCTGGAAAGTCTAGGCGGCTGAAGTCTTTTTCCTGCAAATAAGAAACAAACTGGGGACAGGGAAAGGCTTTTGTGCCCAGAACTCCATAAGCTCCTGCCCAGCTTCAGACATTTCAGGAATTTAATTATATTCATTCTACTCAATGACTGCACCCTGCAAGCGCCTGAAGTGGGAGATTCATTCACTTGACACATATTTATCAAGGCCTGGCAAACCATTGTTCTTTGTGTGAGGACACAGCTAGGAACAAAATGTAGCACAAGAACCAGTGCACCCTAGAAGGGAGACAGACAATTGAGTAGCTGAAATACTATGGCAGTTCATGACAAGTGTTTTGATTGTAGAGATTGATGGGGGAAAGGAATCCATGCTCTTTCTGCAGACCCGTTAGCAAAACCCTCAGTGATAAGGAGGTGTTTGAGCGGCAGCCAGGCCCAGGATGGCTGGAACTGAGTTGGTGGAGCAGAGGGGAGAGGAGGGGGCTAAGACAGAGACGCCATGGGGGAAGGTCGTGAGGTGCTTCCTAGGGTTTTACAAGAATCAGAATTTGACCCTGAGAGAGCTGGGGAGTCACTGAGATTGGGAGTGGTCACAGGAGCCACCGGTAGGACTCAAGTTACGACTGGATCCCTGCGGCTGCAGTGCAGAGAGTGGCCTCTAGGGGGCGAAGGACACAGAGAGAGGCCGGGTGAGCAGCTGCTGCAGTGGTCGGTCCAATGAGCCATGACAGAGTGTAGCTGAGTTACTTCTTGGGTTGACGCCAGTTCCCTTGAGTAACATGAATGGCTTGCCCTGTTCAGGATAATTCTGTTGCTTAATTAAACAATTAAGCATCTTTGCTGTTTTCTGATACACAAATGCGTTAGTATACGTTCATTATACTAGTTTTATACATAAACCTTAGAAAATAAAAATATCAAAAGGTAAATCAAGGGACTTCCCTGGTGGTCCAGTGGCTAAGGCTTCAACAGGGGGCATGAGTTCAACCCCTGGTCAAGGAACTAGATCCCATATGCCACAAGTAGAGAAGATCCCGAGTGCCTCAACAAAGGCCTGGCACAGCCAAATAAATACAGTAGCAAGGATATGGAAGCATCTTAGATGTCCATCAGCAGATGAATGGATAAGGAAGTTGTGGTACATATACACAATGGAATATTACTCAGCTGTAAAAAGGAACATGTACAAGTCAGTTCTAATGAGGTAGATAAACCTAGAGCCTATTATACAGAGTGAAGTCAGAAAGAGAAAGACAAATATCATATATTAACACATATATATGGAATCTAGAAAGATAGTACTGACTATCCTATGTGGGGCAACAAGAGTGACACAAAGAACAGACTTTCGGACACAGTGGGAGAAGGAGAGGGTGGGATGATTTGAGAGAATAGCATTGAAACACACACATTACTATATGTAAACTAGATAGCCAGTGGGAGTATGACATAAGACAAGGGAACCCCAAGCCAGTAACAATCTAGAGGGGTGGAATGGGGAGGGAGGTGGTAAGGGAGTTCAAGAGGGAGAGAATATATATATACCTATGGCCAAGTCATGTTGATGTATGGCAAAAATCACAATAGTGTTAAGTAATTATCCTTTAATTTTAAAAATATATAAATGTTAAGGGTAAATCAAGATTTCAAATCTAGAAACCCGAAGATTAGGGATAAATGTTTCTACTTTGAGGTCTTAATGTACGTGAACTCACAACCTTGTTCATCCAGAGATGAGGAGGGAACAGTGCAGCCTCAGGCAGAGCTTGGGGCTTCCCCAGTGGCTCAGGGGTAAAGAACCCACCTGCCAATGCAGGAGACATAAAAGACTCAGATTCAATCCCTGGGTTGGGAAGATCCCCTGGAGAAGGAAATGGCTACCCACTCCAGTACTCTTGCCTGGAGAATCCCACGGACAGAGAGGAGACTGGAGGGCTATGGCCCACAGGATCGAAGAGTCAAACACAACTGAAGCGACTTAGCATCTAGCATCACCTAGGCAGAGCTACCCCGCAGGTAGGGCTGCCCTCCGGAAGCACAGCCTTCCCTTTCCTCAGCTCCTCAGCCTCCAGAGGGGACAGGCTCCACCTTCGCCACGGGCTGCAATTTGGGTGAGGTGAGTGAGGCCCTCACTCAGCCCAGGATTTAAAGGGAAGCTAAAAAACTTAATAATGCAGATAGATCATAATTGATTTGCAATGTTGCTGTTGAGTCGATTATTCTTGTCTGACTCTTTGCAACCCCATGGACTGTAGTCAGCCCATCAAGTTTCTCTGTCCATGGGGTTTTTTCCCAGGCAAGAATACTGGAGTGGAGTGGTTTGCCTTTTCCGTCACCAAGGGATCTTCCCAACCCAGGAATCAAACCTGAGTCTCCTGCATTGCAGGCAGATTCTTTACCACTGACCCAATATGAAAGTTTTAAATGAAAAGGATGTGACCCTTCACTTGCCTGACCTGCCTCTTTGCTTCACCCCAAGCCTGGCCCTGCTCAGGTGGGACCAAGAGTTTTACACTGAGACTTGAATACACCTCATTCCCAATTTCAAGTGAAAATGTTATCTTCTATCAGATGTAACTTGCTACTTCAGAGGAAACTCTTCTTTTAAATAGAGAATTGCCATTCTTTAGGCTTTAAGGAAAGCAACTTTCTAATTGATGCAAAGGTTTTCTCGAAAATGAGAGCTTTCCCTCTTCTCTCTGGGCACTTATGTGATCTTTTTTAGCCTGAGTTTCACAGGATTTTTTTTTTCCTATTTATTGGTGGTTTATTTAAGGGATCAAGAAGTCTGTGGATGTATAAACATATTGAATAACTCAGAGACTTTTGAGTTCCCATCCTAAATGTTCAAGATAGTTTACATTTTGACAACTTACATCTAAACTATATATTAATTATTTTTCCAATTTCTGAACCAATACATATTTTAAAATGTTGCATAGAATAAATATGTGTTCTTGATATGCTTGAGTGTTATAATGAAGGTATTTACTTAATCTGAAGCTCCAGAAAAGAAGGATCACATTTCCCAGCGTTGGGAAAACTGGCTGTGTTGGTGTCCAGCGTGGTCCCTGGAGACTTCTCTATTGTGCATAGACGGGGGAAGCTTAAAGGACTTTAATGGGCAATTGTGTCCATGAGTGATTGGATTCTGCCCTGCCATTAAATTAATTTAATGAGCACATTTAACAATTACTGTAATAACTAGTGTTTATTGAGTATTGATTGATTACCAGTTACTTGACAGACATCATCTCTAATTCTCTCAACAAGTTCCTGAGGTTGGGGTTATTATGCTCATTTTGATGATGATGATGCTGTGGCTCAGAGTGGTTACTTGTCTCACCTAAGGTCACACAGCCAAAGAGTGGCTCCTCTAAGACTTTAAAGAATACAGTCTAGGGGTTTGCACTAGATGTTCCTTGAGACTTGGGTGTAAGAGGGGTGGGAAAATGACTCTGGGGGGTGGGTAGTGAGAGGGCTAAGGATGGGGCCTACCCAAAACCCAGATTTCTTCTAAATTTCCTTTTGAAAGAAGGGATCTGTTGCTAAAAAGGGATTAACACCCATATCCACAGGGCAGAAGTTTTATCCTTAACAAAACACATCACTTGATGGAGCGCTTTTACTCCACAATACACTTCAACCATTTTCTGATGTCGATAAATACTCTTGTACAGCATTACATGCTTATAAAAATTGTGGTATATTTTATTTTAAATATGTCTTCTTTCATAATTGCAAAAGGAATACATGCTCACAGGAACTTGAGAGGATATAAAGATGTGTAAGGAAAGTTTTTAAGACTCCTCCTTTTGCTGTGTGTTTGTTTTCCCAAGCCACCAACCAATTGTCCAGTTCTCAGGGAACACTGACTGGCTGTCTTTGCATCATACCAGTTCTGACGCTAGCAACCTGGAAATAGTGTCAGATTTCCACCAGTTAATTACTGTGGCCCACAAGTCTCCTCCCATCTTCAGACTCTAATTACAGGTTCAGACTCTAAATACAGTCCGTGAGCCTGTCACTCATGCTTCTACCAACAGCTGTATATCAGAGCTTCCCACGACCGCCCTGGAGTTGTGAATTTGCTAGAGCAGCACAGACTTGGGGAAACATTTTACTTACAAGATTAACAGTTTATCAGGGCTTCCCCAGTAGCTCAGTGGTAAAGAATCTGCCTGCAATGCAGAAGCCCCAGGAGATGCAGGTTCCATCCCTGGATCTGGAAGATCCCCTGGAGGAGGGTTTGGCAACCCATTCCAGTATTCTTGCCTGGAGAACCCCATGGACAGAGGAACTTGGCAGGCTACACTCCATAGGATCGCAAAGAGTTGGACACGACTGAAGCGACGTAGCACACAGGCACGCACCAGCTTATCATAAAAGGATATAATTCAGGACAACCTGGAATATGGATCCTGCACAAGGCAGGATATGGAGAAAGGGCACAGGGCTTCCATACTGTCTCTTGCTCATACTCCTGTTTAGTAGTGATTTAGTGAAGTTGTTCAGTCGTGTTCGACTCTCTGCGACCCAATGGACTATAGCCTACCAGGACTATAGCCTACCAGGTTCCTCCATCCATGGAATTTTCCAGGCAAGAGTACTGGAGTGGGTTGCCATTTCCTTCTCCGGGGGATCTTCCCGACCCAGGGATCGAACCCGGGTCTCCCGCATTGCGGGCAGACGCTTTACCACCTGAGCCACAGGGAGGCCTGCTACTGTTCACCGACCTGGAGTCTCTTCAGATGCAGTCCTTTCCTGTTTTTGCTGGAGGCTTCCTCATGCGCTCACGGTGACTCATACAGTCTGTGGCTCAGACGGGAAAGCGCCTGCCTATAATGCAGGCAGACCCAGGTTCGATCCCTAGGTCGGGAAGATCCCTTGGAGAAGGCAATGGCACCCCACTCCAGTACTCTTGCCTGGAGAATCCCATGGATGGAGGAGGCTGGCAGGCTACAGTCCATGGGGTCGGAAAGAGTCGGACACGGCTGAGCGACTTCACTTTCACTTTCCTCAGTCATGATTGATTAAATCATGTACTATTGGTGACTGATAAACTTCCACCCATCCTCTTCTCCCTGGAGGTGGGGGCTTCAGAGAGCCAAGGAGATAGTTCAACCATCCGATCAGGCACTTGGTCCCCCTGGCAGCCGGCTCCCATCCTTGGGTCACCTGGGAGCTTTCCAAAGTCACCCTCTTCACATTACTGAAGACACCTTTATCGCTCTCCTCATTTAGAAAATTCCCAGGGTTTTAGGAGCTTTGTGCTAGGATGGAACTAGCACCAAATATATATTTCTAATTATAAATCACAACATCACACCCCCTCAAAATTCTAGTATTCCCATCTCCATGAGATAGCCAAAGTTAATACACTGTAGGACTTCCCTGGTGGCCCAGTAGTTCAGAATCTGCCTGTCCAATGAGGGGACATGGGTTTGATCCCTGGTCCGAGAGGATTTCACATGCTGTGGGGCAGCTAGTCCCATGGGCCACAACTACTGAGCCCACGCAACTAGAGAGTAAACCCCTTCTCGCCGCAACTAGAGAAAACCCATTTGCAGTGAAAAAGACTCAGAGCAGCCAGTTAATTAATTAAAATAAAAACGTTTAAAAAAATATGCCGTATGTTTTTCCATGACTTTCTCCATTACAGCATGATTCTTTCTCACTTTTTTAAAATACTGGAAACTTTCAACCTTACTCAGAAGTACAGAAAATAGTAATTAAACCCTATGTACCCATTGTTCACTTTCAGCAATTATCAACATAGGGAGAATATTGTTTATATCTAAGGCATCATGCCTATAAATCCATAAATACTTCATGAAGGGTATATGGGTTTTTTTACACCATCAGCGAATCATCTACACACCTAAAAGAATTAATAATGCCTCAGAATGTAGGTCCTCAAGTGGAAGCTTCGCAGTTCAGGCTTTCCTCACCACCCCTACCGCCACCCCACCATTCTCTGTTTCAAGACACGGAGGTTCCATTTGCTGACCTTGTAGCCCGAGCTGTGATGACCATCCTCGTAACTGACCCACTGTCCCCCCCAACCCCTCAGGCCTGCGCCCTGCCTTCTGTCTGCAGTCTCCATACACTGGTCCCTGCCGGGCCATGTTCACCAGGTACTTCTACGACGCCGTGTCCGGGTTCTGCCAGACCTTTACTTACGGCGGATGCAGAAGGAAGCAGAACAACTTCCTGAATGAGAAGGAGTGCATCAGCACCTGTGGTGGCCGCAACAGGGCCCAGGGTAAGACCGGGCAGGGCAGGGTGGGAGGGGAAGCTGCTGGGGAAAGGGGCGGGGCTCAGGGGCTGGGGGGAAAGGGGCGGGGCTCAGCGGCTGGGGAGAAAGGGGCGGGGCTCAGCGGCTGGGGAGAGGGGCGGGGCTCAGGGGGCCACACACCATTCCCACCTACCGGGTCTTTCCACCCCGCCGCTGCCAGGAGAGGCTGCAGTGTCCCGTGAAACCACACACTGAGCGAGTTCTCCAAGGGCCAGCTTTCCAGAAGCTCACCCTCTAGCTAATCTAAGCCACTCACAGGCTCCTCTTTCTCAGATGGGAACACCGAGTCGGCCACCCTGCCCAGCGCGTCCACCGTGCTCCTGAGCAAAAGGGCTTTTCTCTTCCTGGTCATCCTGGTGTCAGGAGTACCGCGCTCGCTCGTGTCTGGGGTTGTCAAGCCTCTGTCAGGGTGTATGCTGTCAAGGTCAGGGACTTCGGTGGTGACAGTCAACAAATTCCTTTCTTCTTTCTTCTTACAGAGAGTCCGGCAACTGTGCTCCCTGAGATGCTGAAGTCCTAGGAGGCCCCACACAGGGCTTGGCTGTGGCTGCTTCTGAGCAAATTGAGTCTCTTCTGCTTCCTTCTCAAGCCTACCCTCCTCAGCAGAACCCTGCCTCTCTCTTCGCTGCAACCTCGCCCTCACCCCGCTCCCCAACGTCACTGCTCTCCTTGGAGGGGGGAGCGGGGAAATTTCTGGTCCAGCCCTGAGCATCTGTGATGGCAGAAGTCTTTTCAGTAAAGAAGCCCCCTTGCCCCACAGTGATGTTGCATATTTGTTTGTGGCTTCAACCTCTGGCCTTATATCTAATACATTCATTTTCTAATTAAACTAACAGGAGTGAATTCCATTGTCTGCAACCAAGAACGGTAACCCATTGGGTCCATGAAAATGGTGGTCCTTCTCACTATTCGGCGGTGTGGAAGGCACCTCCCCTTTTTCTGTCCTCAGACTGGTCCTACCAGGTGTAGAAACCATTCCAGCCCCATCTACCTCTTAATGGCCACCCCAAGCAACACAAAAAACTGGGTGACAGATACCATGCTGTGAAAGCATTTGTTTACTTTTTGGACCAGATCAGTCTGGGGACTGGTCATCCTCCTGGACTCTTGGGAGGAGAAAGGAAGGAGGGTGAGGCTCACTTGCCCACTTGCTCAAGGAAACCCCTCCCCCGAAATACTGTGGCGGGGTTGGGACTTTTATTTCTTCTAAAGAACAGCATCCAGCCACTTAGCACCTGTCGTGTGCCAGGCTCTGTGCTTAGCATTTTTCTGGCATTATTTCATTTAATCATCTGAGAATCCTTTGAGGATAAAACAGGGGTATGCAGATGTCAGCTAGCCGGTGGGTTTGTTTCCTGGAGTTCCTATAACAAACTATGAACTGAGTGGTTTATTTACTAATATTTATTTAGCCATGCCATGCAGCTTTCAGGATCTTAGTTCCCTGACCAGGGGAGCAAAGCTGTGTCCCCTGCAGTAGAAGCCTGGAGTCCTAACCACTGGACAGCCAAGAAATTCCCTGAAAACAAAATATTTATTCTCTCTCACTTCTGGAAGCTAGAAGTCTGAGATCAAGGGGTCAGCAGGGCCATGCTCCCTCAGAAGGCCCTGATCCATTCCAAGCATCTCAGCTCCTGGAAGGCCTGGCTTGCTGCAGCATGAGTCCAGTCTTCACATGGCATTCTCCCAGTCTGTCACCTAATCTGCCCTTTTTTGTCAGGACACCAGTCATACTGGATTTGGGCCCATCCTAATGAACACTTAACTTAATCCCCACACTAGAGACCCTATTGCCAAACAAGCTCACATTCTGTGTTCCTGGGGGTTAGGACTCCAACATTTCTTTATTGGTGGGGACACAGTGGCAGAACCCCAACCATGACAGCCTAGCTGACTGTCCCAAAGGTTTTGTCCTTTGCAAGGAGAAAGAGAGTTAAGAGCCCAACTCCCCAGCCAGTCTGTAAAGATCCAGAGCCTGGGTTTGTTTTAATTTGGGGTTCCCAAGAAGAAAAGGGAATATGGTTTATTGGGTATGAGAAAGGGCAGCAAAGGTGGCCAACGAAAATGGAGGAGCAAGCCCACTGGCACTGTTAGTGATGCCCTCCATCCCATGGGGGAGGGGGAGCCAGGTGGGGTACAACACCTTCCTTGTAGTTGCCTCCCCTGAGAGGTTAAAGGGCAGTTATACACCAGCTCCCTGTTACTCAGTGATTGGAGACTTCTGGCTCCCTCGGTGCACAGGCTTCTTCTGTGGCCCCAAGAAATCCTTCAGGCAAAGAGCTGCAGATACTGGCAGCTGGAAGCCAGCCAGGAACACCGAAGGTGGTAGTAGTCGGTGGGCACACATCTACCACACTATGTGGCTTTGAATAATTTACTTAACATCTCTGCACTTTTCTTCCTACCTGGGGCTGTTATGAGGAAAGTGAATTAGGACATGCTGAGCCCTAAGATCAGAGAGCCTGGCATGTAATTAGTGCAATGTAAACACCTGTTAGGATAATTATTGACTAAATCATATGAGCCTTCCCTGGAGAAGGAATGACTCTGACCTCATCGAGGAAGCACAAGCTGGAATCAAGATTGCCAGGAGAAATATCAATAACCTCAGATATGCAGATGACACCACCCGTATGGCAGAAAGTGAAGAACTAAAAAACCTCTTGATGAAAGTGAAAGAGGAGAGTGAAAAAGTTGGCTTAAAGCTCAACATTCAGAACACTAAGATCATGGCATCCAGTCCCATCACTTCATGGCTGATAGATAGGGAAACAGTGGAAACAGTGGCTGACTTAATTTTTCTGGGCTCCAAAATCACTGCAGATGGTGATTGCAGCCATGAAATTAAAAGACGCTTACTCCTTGGAAGGAAAGTTATGACCAATATAGACAGCATATTAAAAAGCAGAGACATTACTTTGTCAACAAATGTTCATCTAGTCAAGGCTATGGTTTTTCCAGTGGTCATATGTGGATGTGAGAGTTGAACTATAAAGAAAGCTGAGCGCCAAAAAATTGATGCTTTTGAACTGTGGTGTTGGAGAAGACTCTTGAGAGTCCCTTGGACTGCAAGGAGATCCAACCAGTCCATCCTAAAGGAGATCAGTCCTGGGTGTTCATTGGAAGGACTGATGTTGAAGCTGAAACCCCAATACTTTGGCCACCTGATGCGAAGAGCTGACTCACTAGAAAAGACCCTGATGCCAAGATTGAGGGCAGGAGGAGAAAGGGATGACAGAGGATGAGATGGTTGGATGGCATCATCGACTCGATGGACATGGGTTTGGGTGGACTCTAGGAGTTGGTGATGGACAGGGAGGCCTGGCGTGCTGCAGTTCATGCGGTTCAAAGAGTCGGACACGACTGAGCGACTGAACTGAACTGAACTGAAGAATATTCATGCTGGAAGGCATGTGGAATTGAAGTTGATTCAGAGTCCTTATTTCATAAGTGAGGAATTTAGAGCCAAAGAAAGGGGAATATCTTGCCCAGTGTCACCCAACTAACAACTATGAGACATTATAATAGACTAAACCCAGGCAACATCACTCATTCTTTCAATCATTCATCACTCTTATCTTGCATTTAGTGTTTGTTCTGTGATAGCAGGCAGGGAAACAGTAATGACTAAGATAGTAGCGTTCAAACCTATGTGATTACTCTCATTCACACTAGTAAATGTTTTGAATACGTATTTGTGCATACACTCATATGCACATTGTTGTACTAGTATGCACACTTGAAATGTTCAATAATATATATTTAATAAAGAATAGGCTAGAGAAAGGGCTTCCCTGGTAGCTCAGCTGGTAAAGAATCCACAGGCAATGCAGGAGACCCCGCTTCGATTCTTGAGTCGGAAAGATCCCCTGGAGAAGGGATAGGCTACCCACTCCAGTATTGACTGGCTTCCCTCGTGGCTGAGATGGTAAAGAATCCACCTGCAATGCCAGACACCTGGTTTAATCCCTGGGTTGGGAAGATCCCCTAGAGGAGGGCGTGGCAACCCACTCCAGATTTCTTACCTAGAGAATCCCCACCAGCAAAGGAGCCTGGTGGGCTACAGTCCACGGTGTTGCAAAGAGTCAGACACGACTGAGTGACTAAGCACCGCACAGCACAGGATAGAGAGAAAAAGCAGAAGCTTGTAGATGTTTTCTCTTGTTCCCCGGGGCACCCCACTTTGGACACCTCTAGACCAGGACAGGCTTTACCTGCAAAGAACTCCCCACCCAGGCTGGAAGGCAGACATAATTTCAGAAACACGCATGCTGTGGGAGCCAAAGAGGAGACCCTAACCGTCACTGGAAGAGGTCAAGGCCAGCCTCCCAGAAGAGGCAAGGTTTGAGCTGAGTGTGGAAGGGTGGATTGGATTCTATCAGGAGGAGAGAAGAGGTAAGACAAAGATGTGGAGATGAGAGCAAAGATTCAACTTCCATCCAGTTCCCAAGTTGGAGTTTATATTGGTTTCCACATAGCCCTTGAGTGTCACAAGGGAGACCCCAACTGGTTCATCAAAGTCCACTCAACCCTGAATACAGACAGATCTGGGAGTCCCCTCAGTAGAGACAGAGGAAGAGGAGATACCTAGGAGATGTGAGGCAAACACCTCATTTGCGGGAGAGCCCTTGTCCCAAAGCTTGAGTTACCTGCTTCCTTCTGCTAGTCCCTGTTCCTGGGGGAGTGAGGCAGCCGCCTTTGGTGTCTCTAAGAAACAGACCCATCAGAGCTGATGACATATATGAGTGGATGTTGGAATGAAGGATTTGGTGGTGAACACAAAATTGAAGAAGGCATCTAAAAAATTAAATACAGGGATATTTAGCTGTCAGATACTCAACCAACCTCAGTTTTTATACCTCCTTCCATGGGGAGCACACTTCCTTGGGCAGCAGGTGCCAGCTGGCAGCTTTCATCCATACAAAGTCTTTTGTCCTAATGAACCAGTAAGAGTACCCCTCCCATCTGGCCCTGACTTTCACATGGGTCCTTACTCTGCTCCTAAGAAACCTGTGGACCAATCCTGCTCTCTTTGTCCTAAGACATTCCTAGAGACACTGGGAGATGGCAACCAGGGAAGTACCCCCATCTCTCCCAAAGTGTCCTTTAGGTTCTCTTGCAACATTTGCTAAGTCCCCTCTGCCAGCTTTCAGATTCTCAGGCCTCAAAGATGTGGACATCCCTTGGGTTCAGCTTCCATCAGTTTATGCAGAGGCTGATAGGATGGTAGCCACGCTCAGGAGGTACCCCTTTACTGAGTGGGAAGAGGGACGTTTGCGTAAGAATAAGAGAATGGTCCGCATGCAGGTCACCCTCCTGTTTTGCTTTCCCTAACGGGTCAAGAGCAATGATTATCAGAGACTGTGAGCTACATGAGGGTGGCTGAGAAGAGAGGGTGGGAGACTTCCCTGTGGCCCAGTGGTTAAGAATCTGCCTTCCAATGCAGGGGACCTGGGTTTCATCCCTGGCCAGGGAACTAAGATATCATATGCCACAGGGCAACTGAGCCCGAGCCTCGCCATACAGAGCATGCCACAGCTAAGACCAACTAAGACAGCCCAAAATAAATAATAGATATTATTTAAAAAGAGGAAGGGGTAGGATGAAGACGGAGGCAGGACTCCAAGGCTCATGGAGGTATTGCCCAGGATACATCATACTTCACGTTCACTATTTGAGTCTCTCAGCTGCATAGCATTGTGGGAATATGTTCAGAATCCACTGTCCCCAGTCAAAGGGAGAGCCCTACTCTCCCAGGTAGCACCATTTTGACATTTTTCATGCCCCTGTCTCTGAGAAAGCATACGATGGATGTATGTTCGGAGAGCAGAGATTAACTGCCTCACTACAGATGAAGTAACTGAGGCATCGAGGCTGTAAATACCAAAGATAATTAAATAAAGGAAAAGAGAAAACAAGACCCGTCCATCTTGGGTGGCCCCACATGGCATGGCTCATAGCTTCACTGA